TACTGCCTGCAGACATGCAAATGTGGTCTGTGTTTCTCTGAACTTAGCATTCATATTTAGACTTTGACTTTAACCAAAGTGTAACATTCATCCTGCACCTTACACATACATCAATGCGTCTTTAGTCTCGTGGCAATTGCAGTGCCTTTTCATGAGCTCTACTGGCTTACCATAAAAAGGCAAACCACTGTCTGCATAAAACTATAGATTGAAGGGGAGAGAACAGTCTTTCTGCAGTTTTTTAAGTGCACCTTGCAATGTTATAATTAAGAAAAAAAGCTCTACCTTTCACTTAAAAAAAAAAGTTATTGGGGGATAATGATGCCATCAGACTGCTGCAGGTAGCAAGAAGCAGTTCCTGCATATCAAACAGTCTAGCGCTACATGGGCTATTTTAAGTAGCCCAGTCATGTTAATATAGTCAATAGTGATAAAGTGTATCCAAACCCACAAACAAAAATGTAACATATTGCAGCTCACCAGTCCTTAGATGTAGTGGCTGCATTACGTTTTCATTTCATCTGTTGATCCTGCCAATAACACGCATCCTGTCCTGGAAGGGAAAACGTGGGCTTGCTGTGCTGTATGTATAGAGAAGCAGTGTTTTCACCCTAGGCTGCCCTCTTGATTTAGACCACAGAAAAAAAACCACCTCATCTTCACAACACGAGGGACGGTGATCTGTAGTTCACATAAGAGAACTGGGAAAGCTGATAACATTGTTTGAGATATCAGTTCAGTGCATAGAAAGGTACAAGGACACTGGAATACTGGTAAGATCAACTGGTATCTTCTGTAGCTGCAGAAAATATACTTATCCTGAATAAAGAAAACAAATGCAGCCATCAAATCTGTGGACCGGTTAGCTGCATTATACCATCTGTTAATTCTTGGATTTACATTGATCACTAATGTAGTGATTGACTTCTAAAACAAATGGAACAAACGGCTTCTTTTAGTGAAAGCTACATAAATAGAATGTAGTAATGATGAATCTTGTGTGATCACAAAATGTGCAAATGCAAGTGATCACTCCCACATGCAACCCATGTAACTTAAACCATAGGGAGACATTCACATTTACTACAGCATTATTTTAACAAATGTGCCTTGGTCTTTTTACCCATCTGTAAGGGAGCATTTTTCCCAATGACCATGACTATAAGGTGCATTCTTCTCATTGACCACCAGGGGCAATGGCCAGCAATGTAAGCAGCATTCACTTCACTGACAAGCAATGTGAGAAGCATTCTTCCCTACCTCTAATGTAAGAAGCATTTTTCCCCAAGACCACAAATGTAAGAAGCATTTTTCCTACTGGCCACAAATGTGAGGAGTATTCTCCCCACTGACCCCTTACGTAAGGGACATTCTCCCCACTGACCACCAATATATAGAGCATTCTTCTCACTGATCACCAATTTAGGGGGACATTCTCCCCGCTGACCACCAATGTATACAGCATTCTTCTCACTGACCATCAATTTAGGGGGACATTCTCCCCACTGACCACCAATGTATAGAGCATTCTTCTCACTGACCACCAATTTAGGGGGACATTCTCCCCGCTGACCACCAATGTATACAGCATTCTTCTCACTGACCACCAATTTGGGGGGACATTCTCCCCAGTAACTACCAATGCATGGTGCATTCTCCTCACTGACCACCAATGTAAAAGGACATTTTTCCCAGTGACCACCATTTTGATCACTGCTGAAACAATTTTGCTGTACAGAGCAGTCTAGGTGTTGTCAAATATGCTTAGTACGATATATTCCTTTATTAATTTTTTTAGCTCAACTTACCGTTCATGCTAATGTACAGTTAGCCGTAGATACGGTAATTATTAGCTGGGTTTCCCTGAGACCTGAAAGTTGCTTTTAGGGTTCCTTCACGTTAAAAACATTAAGGAAGGTTTCTTAAAAATGGCCATACACTAGTAGTTTTTTGTTTAGCCTGCTATATAGTGGGGATGAATAAATCTCTCTCTCTGCGGCTATTGTATTCTGACAGCCGGCCGCACTGGCTGAGAAAATGCCCAAACAGTGGCTGCATCTGATTAGATGCAGTTGTTGTTTGTCCGAAAAATTTCTAGCAGGTTCTTTCAACAAAAGTCGATCAGACAATTGACTTTTGGCAAATTGAGGAGGGCCGGTAACATGTATGGCCAACTTTAGACAGTATTAATTACATATCTTGTTTGTTATTGTTTACACTAGCTATGTGTCCATTGTTCCCAATAGAGACTGGCTACCAAAAACTAGATGATGATTCCTAATTCTGCAGTTCTAGCTTGTTACCCCACGCTTTCAAATATAGTTTCCTCTGTTTCAGAACAGAAGAGTTAAAGTGTGTGGAGCAATCCAGAGCTTCTATGTGGATTAAAGCTCTAGGTGTGGTACAGAAAAATGCACAGTTTGGCTGCCACACCTATCCATTCTCATAAACTATCACTAAGCTGATCTACTGTATCTGTTGTCTTGAGGCACTGGGGTTTTCTTAAGGTGCCCATGAATGAGTCTGGAAAGCTGAAACCTTTTTTCAGCATTCTATTCTGAGTATAAGTATGACTATGGATGCTTTTAGAACCCCTGTCTAGTTTTTATCGCTGTCTGTAACCCCACTTGTAGGATCCATGGTGACTATTTTCACAGAGACAGAATGTAAGACAAAATCAAACATTTTAAAGTTGTCGCCAGAACAGGAGGTGAGGGTAAATCTTCCAATGGGGATGCCTGTTCTGGAGAGAACTGGCTAAGAGGGGAAATTTCCTAAATTGGAGAGATTTTAATCCTGTTTCCAATTGCATCTCCAGGACAGTCAGTGAAAGGGAATATCCCCAATGGAACCCAGACAACAAACCATAAACTGAAAGGGGTTTAACCCTACTCTATCCATAAACAAACAAAAAAAAAAGGTCAGTACATACACTTTAGTTAAAAACTTCTTGGATCAGGTACAGTTCCAATGTCAATGGGGCAGCACTCTTGGGGAACAAAATGATAGGGCATGTTTGAAGACCTAACAGGTCACTACTGGTTTTCCCAAAACCAAGAGTATAAGTAGATCCCCCTATCATTCCTTCATCGCCTTAAGCAGGAGCCCCATGTGACCAGATTGTGAATTGACCAAGGAGGTATTGTAAAACGACATGAGCATGTATGTACATTCTTAACCACTTCTGCCTCATGGCCCTTTAACTGGTTCTACATGCCGAGAGGCAGAGATGGGCATGTCGAACATGTGACTGCTGCGATTGGCAGTCACAGGAGTAGAAAGCTCATGGTAGCTTTCCAATACCCACCGGTTACTGTGCTGGGAGCACGCAAGGTGCGTGCATTCAGCACAATAAATGTTTACATAGGGGCGCATATATCCGACCGCTTGGCATTAAAGCCCACCCACTGAGAGGCAGCATATAGGCATATGGCTGGCAGGAAGTGGTAAAGTGTATATAAACCAAAGAAACAAAAATATAGTAGTTTGCAGCATAACAGTTTATGATGGGATGGCTTGATTGGTTTAATTTTATTCAGGCTTTTTTTTCTTTATTTTTACCTAGTGATCCTGCCCACAACAAACTATCTGTCCTAGGCTGCTCATTCACTGTACTGTATCTATAAAGGAGCAGAAATGCCACACTAGGCTGTTGGCTCCTGATTTCCTGAACACCTCCCCTTTCCACATCACCATAATGTAGGGGGAAGATGTTTCTGTAGTTCACAGAGGTGAACTGTGAAGGGCTGACAACATTGTTTGGAATTTCAGTGGAACACCAGCAGAATGCACAAAAAACTTGCAGGCTCACTGGATTTCTAGCAGGATCAACAGCTATTGATGAACTCATCAAACAGATATAACACTTTCAATGGTACATTTAACATACCAGAAGGAAGCAAATAAGAGTATACCATTGTTAGCGGTACATAAACATTAATGTTAATGGCTTGTTTCATTATATCCCCATGTAACCATCCAGCCAACAGCATCACAGATTAAGCTTCATCCACACCAATGCAAATTGTTCTGTGATTTGACAGTTCAAAAATCACATGAAAAGTCGCACCCCATATGTGTCTATGGAACCAATCAAATTGGTGCAACTCCGACTTTGCACTGATTTTGAAAAAGGTTCCTACACTATTTTTGGCAATTCCATGGACGACTTGCATTGACATTTGTGCATGAAGTCACACTGAAGTCAGCACACCACACATGAAATCACACTGACCGGCGGCTTTAAATCGTGCTACTTCAGCTGAAGTAGCATGATTTCAAAGACGCATTCAGTGTGAATCAGGGCGAAAGCAAACATCTGTAGGTCACTAGGTCACTTCATTTTGGCTATGCAATGATGATAGGAACATTTATGTTACAGGGATGAGCTTACTGCGTATAATCTCACCAATGTGTCTTTTAAAAACCTTGCTCCCAGTCATGAATTGTAATTATAGACTTAAATGTAGTCAGACTTATTTGCTCAATATGCAGGTTCTGCTTTCTGATGAATAATATGACACAACAACTTTAATATGACTTTGCTTTGCTCTAATTTTTTCTATAAAAACAGGTTGGGTAGAGTCAGTCTGATAAAGAAACTACAGACATTCTCTATGTCTAACTGATCTTATCTCACCTGTCTTTTAGCAGGAATGCTGATCACATTCCATAACATACAGATAGTCACTAAAGATACAATCTGCAAATGTTGTAAATGAATTACAGTCATTAACTATCAAGCAGAGAATGTGTAAAAAAAAATTACCCCCAAGTGACATTACTGCAAAAACTCAGGATGTGTACTAGAAATTCATGACAGTGAAATATTCCCTCTAAAGTATACCTTAAAGTGTTACTAAACCCAGGACCCTGCATTTACCATATCTGGTCTCCCAGGACCCTGCATTCACCATATCTGGTCTCCCACAGCACACAGAATATGGAAATGAAATTGTTTTAGTAAATATAAACTGCTAAATACCTCTTTTCATCAGCAGTATATAACTGTCTTGTGACTTCTATCAGTGTTCAGCTGAGCACTGATTAAAGCTTGTAGGAGGAGTTTTCATTCTGCCCTGACTACCCTATTAGGCTGCATAACCCCTGACCTTCTGTCTGGATGGTGCTGATTGGCTCTTTGCTGATCACATGCACCCTCCCAAATTAAAAAACAACTCTCTAGCAACACACCTTAAAGTGAGCATGTGCAGAGTGACTCCTAGAGCTCTGTACTAACAGCAAATGGACTGGGGACAGTAGAAGAGGAGGATCAGAGAAGACAGGATCAAACAGTCTTTTTACACAATGCGGAGGATTAACCCCTTAGGTTCCACAGTGAGTATAATGGAACATGCTTTACAGCATATACAGACTGATTTTACTGTAAGGGAGATTCACCCTTATTGTCCTGATCACCAACGTTAGTGGAAATGAAAGTTAGGGTAATCCTGGTAATTATGGGTTGCCGCCAGAACAGCAATAGAGGGGAAAGTGGTGACATGACAGCTGTCAGGTGGTGACATGTGTTCCCATGACAACTGTCTAAAAGGGAATTTCCCAACAATGGAAAGATATCCTCTCTCCTGTTGAATATACAGGACAGGAAGTGAAGGTGGATCTTACTAATAACACGCAGAATGCTTTAGATATACTGTAAAGATGATCTTCTGACAAGCAGTGCTATGAAGACAGATCTAGAACATAACCAGGCCCTGGACATCTACTGCATCAGAAGCTCAGTTTGGTCAATAATAAGACCTCAGCTTGATTTGCCAATGCTGGAAGGGAGACACTCTCTGTCCCTCTTATAACACATGTTCAATGCAGTAATGATTGAAATATGAGGTCCCTCTGCCTCTCAGTTTTAGTCCTGATGTGCAGGGGAATGCAAGAGGCCAATAAAAAAGCAAATTCAGGTACTTATGCGATCTGCATATAAAATTACATTTAAGTATTCTTTTTAATAATTGTGCATGTCTGCCAGTTATAGTTGGGTTTGAAAATGAACAATGATCAAAAGAAGTAAAAAAAAAAAAAGAAATAGAATCATAATAATAATATTATGTATGGCGAATACATTATTTTGTAGCAAAAGGAAATTAGAACAGACTAATGCCATATATATAGGAATGGGACCCACCTGTGGCACAGAGTGCAATAAAGGTCTGTGCATGCTTTCGGACCAAAAGCAACTTTTCTTTAGGTAAAGGCAGCTTCCGTAATATGTGTTCAAGAAAGTCATGTGGTGTCACAGCAGCAAGGTTCCACTTCAATTTTCCTAAGACCACCAGTTCCCATTCCTAGAAACAAAGCCAACACAAACCTGAGTCTTTTATCCAGTTATAACCTATTTGCATATCAGTAGTCATTATTGAGAATTAGCGCCTATTAACAGTACAAAGCAGCTGGACCTCTCTTTTCAAAAAGTTGAATTCATCTGATGACAGATAACATATGCTAGATCCTCTAAATTTTGGAAGAGACTGATAAATTAGTTTTTACAGTAAGTAAAGCCAAAACTTTGGTTTTACAAAGAGCTAATGCTAGGATAACATCCAACATCTTTGTGGAAGTCTCCCATGGCTTAACTGGCCTTCAGAGTACATAATCTGCTAGCGGTAGCCCCTTCACCAGCAAGAGATGATATTGGGATTTGAACAAATGTCTGTCAGGAAGTATTCCAGGCTATACTGGCCTTCAGAGTCCTTAACCTGCAAGTTTTAGCCCTTCTCCAGTGACAGTCAAAATTGGAATTATAACCCATATCTTTGAGGATTTCCCATGGCTATACTGGCCTTAAGTATCCTTAATCTGCAAGTTCACCCACGAAAATCAACAAAGAGCCAATGCCCGCCAGGAAGTCACCCCAGGCAATACTGGCCTTTATAGTCCCTAACCTGCCAGTTGTAGCCCAATTCACCAATGAAAGTCAACACTTAGATTTAAACCCATGTCTCTGAAGAAGTCCCCCATGGCTATACTGGCCTTTAAAGTTCTTACTTACAAGTTGTGGCCCCTTCACCAGAAAAAGCCAACAATGAGATTAGAGTCTGTCAGAAACTCTCTCATGGGTACTGTCTTTCAGAGTACTTAAAGTGTGTCTATACCAAAAACATTTTTCTTTAGGCTTGGATAAAATGAGGAAATCTCATTTTCACAGAACCCCTTTCGGGTTTTACTGCATTCCGGGGCTCCACTGGAGAGATTTCCCCTCACTTTCTGTCAATCTGACAATCTTTTACAAGACAAGAAGCGAGGAAAAATCTGCATCAAGGAAAAAAGATGGCAATAGAAGGCTGAAAGAGGTTCTAGTACTCCCCTACTTAACTTCTTTGCTTTTGTCTTTGTTGCTGTTAGATTTTTCCTCATTCCTGTCCTGGGGATAGTCTTTTTACCAGGCAGGAGGGAAAATTATTTCTCCAACAGAGCCACCAAAAGCTGTAAAATCTGACTAATTGTACCCCATTCCATTAAAAAAAAAGTTTGGGGTATAGATACAATTTAACCTGAAAGATGTGGGCCCTTCACAAGCAAGAGCCAACATTGGGTTTTGATCCTATGTCTTTTGGGAAGTCTCACATGACTGCATTAGCACTGGTTCTTAACATGTAGGCTGTGGCTGTTTCACCAAACCTATTTTTTTTAGTTTTGGATAGAGCAGGGAAAGACTAAGAACCTTTTAGGTTTTTTCCCTCACCACCTTGTTCCAGTGACAACTCTAAAATTTTGGATTTCCCTTTACTTTCTGTACCAACGACAATGGGTCCCAGGACAGAAATATTGGGTAATTTTCCCCAGCAAGGACACAAAAAGCAATAAAAAGGGGTGCTAACACTTCTTCACTTTATACAAAACAAAAAATATTTGGTTTTATATATGATTTTTAGAAAACTTGCCATAAACCTAAACACTTTAACCTGATTATGAATTAAAAATTCACATCAAAACAATCTAAAACATATGCAAGCAGCTGTAATTAGAAGAAAATATCAACTCTTTCTGTAAAAGTTCATCTTGGCCTTGCATCCTTTCAGTGAGTCTCCAATCACATTAAAACACCAAAAAGGCTAGGAAGGGAACTTTTGGAGGAAAAATACTGTCATTTCAGCTGCCTCTCTCTCTTGACCTACTGACATACGGTAACTACTGAAGGTAACCTCTGCCCATGCATTTTTCATATTAAATGCTCAGTTTACAATTCCCAAGTTTGTGACTGGATAAAGAGTCCTTGACATCATCTTCAAAAATTGCAAATGTACAGAAAAGTCAAGTAGTTGAAATGCTTGCTCGCAGCTTTAAATTATTTTTATTCACTTGAAATGTTCCTTAAAACATGTTATCAAATTTGACTACCTCAGGAAAGTCAGTTCCCTAGAACAGTATCCTCCCTCCTTGCACATCAAAGCCATCTCCTCCTCTGGGAGTGTCTAATAACTGCTTGTGCTCTCCCATCTTTTTCGCCGCTCCCTTTATGTAGCTGCTGGGGAAGGAGTGAATGGGAATACTAAAAAGTGTCACTTGAGTGACAGCTCTGAGTCCGCTAGGGCTGCTGACATCTCATTCAAGATGGAGATACCCAGCAGCAGCATCAGGGCTTTTGGATGTCTACACAAGGATTCTACAGTTGAAAAACATGTATAAAATACACAAAATTTACATATAGTCTTTCAGTAAAATGCTATTGAAGTGAATGGTCTGGCAACAGGGTCTCTTCAACTTCTGCATATACTTTCAGATGCCTACTGGCTTCTAGTGAACATTACAGCAGGCATATTAGATTACATACAACTTTCTGGTGACCACAGGTTGTATACCTATCAGTGCAACAGAGTATCTCAGTGGCTATGATCCATACAAAGGTGCATCTCTTTCTTTGTAGCATTGGTCTACAACAGGGGTATCCAAACTGTGGCCTAAGGGCCAGATGCAGCCCTTTGCTAGCCTTTATCCAGCCCTTGGGGCACTATTCCTCCCAATGATAGAGGCACTAATCCTTCCACTGACACCAACAATGAGACACTATTTCTTCCACTGATACTAATGGTGGCGTACTATTCCTCCCACTAATACAAACAATGGGGCACTACTCCTACCACCCACAAATCCTGTGGCCATGTTTCTTTTCACTGATGCTGGACCAGGACATTTTCTACCCCAGATGGCCACAATCTGGCCCCCCTAATGTCTGAAGAACAGTTAACTGGCTGTTTGAAAAGTTTGGAGACCCCTGGTCTCCAACACTGAAAGGTGCTGCTTGTGGTTTAAAGCCTTCATACCATCATCAGCCATCCAGATCCATCTAAGACACATATTTGCCTGTGTGCCTGAGACTCCATGCCCCAGAGACCCCCCCAAACCCAAATTAGATTTATAAATATAAATCTTGACTTCCAGTCCCAGAGATGCCTGCATCCTACAATTTCAAGCATGTGCCTACCTACCTGCCATTGCATTCTTTAAAGATGCAAGTGTTTAAATTGGGAGACGCAGGACGTGTGTTGAAGCTTGGACTGGAAGAAAGGATTTTTGCAGAATTTGCACCAGAATTTGGAAGTCTACAAATTGCACAGATCGTTTGTCAAGAAGGAAAGCCCAGCTGTTAGACAAACAATATACAACACATTAGGTGTGATGACAGGTTCACTTTAAATTAGATATCTGGGTTGCCCATAGAAATAGATAGGAGATCTTCATGACAGTTGAAAGTGACTAGTTTATAAAGATCTTTCTGGGTCACAAATAAAGTTTATGCCCAACAAAAAAAAAAAACAATTGAATAAAGTAAAGGATCCCCTGTCATGTTTTTATTACGATCTAAGGCTCCATTAGAGAGATTTTTCTTCACTGCCAGGTTGACAAGTGTTTCCTCTGACAGGGAGTGAGGAAGCAGGGACGCAGAGAGCCATGAAAAAAACTGACAGGGGTTCTAGCCTCTTCTTCTTTATTTAAAGTGGTTGTAAAGGCTCAAGGTTTTCTATCCTCACACATTCTATGCATGAAGGTAAAAAACCTTCTGTGTGCAGTAGTGCTTTCAGGCCCCTCAATACTTACCTGAGCACCATCGATATCCATCGACGTGCACAACAGCCTTGGCTGTCCCGGGTCTCT